ATCTAATATTAAATGTGATATGATAAAATAGTGATCAACAAATGATCGGCAAATGATCGGCAAAATTGTGATAAAATAGGGATGTCCACTATGCTCAGTAGAAGTGGGATTTTTCTTATATTTGTAATTTTATATGATTTTAAATTTTAATAAAGTTTTAATCAGATATACTATAAATAAAAAAAAAAATAAAAAAAAATAAATATATATAAATTTTTTTATAAATCATGTAATTAATGATAATTTATCATTAATAAATATTAAAATTACACTTATAATTTTTAATTATTAATCTTAGTAAATTTTCTAATCTATATATATTTTTTAAATATTTATAATATAAAATAATTACAAAATAAATTGCTTAGTAATGTAAGAGTTTATTTAGTAAAATTGAAAATAGTTTATTTATAAAATTTTTATCTAATCTATATATATATTATTTAGAATTCTACTTTATTATTAACTGTTTTTTTTATATATATTGTTTAGAATTCTACTTATTTCTTTTATATTTTTATTTTTGTTTTTTATTTTCTTTTTATTTCTTTTAGTTTATAAATATATTTTAATACTAATATTATTTAAATATTTTTATTATTTAATAAAAATAAAAGTCTTTTCTATACAGTCTAACCTCGATATACCGATATTCGATATACCGATATACTATTAAAAACTTGTTATACCGATAAAATTTTATTTTCCCACTATATGTGAGGACTGAGGACATATAAATATCGGTATAACTTTGATATAACGATATTTTCTAAAAATTTCATATATGTCCCGACATATCATTATATAAAGGTTTGACTGTATGTAGTTATACTTTGTATAACCAAATTTTTTAATTAAAAGTTTAAAAAAATAAAATTATTTTATATTGTAATAATTATATATATTTTATTTTTAATATAACAAAAAAGTCAAATTTGTTATAAAAAATTTAAAGGATTTAATTGATTATTATTTTATTATAGTAAGAAAAAATTGACATATTTTATTGGCTAAATATTAGGATTATTAGTTATTAGATTAAATATAATTATAAGTTTAATATAGTAGATTTGATTATTAGTTAATATTATATTAAAAATATAAAAGTAACTAAGTAAGGCTTTTTTGATTTTTATTTAATAGCTTTACTTTAATTAAATAATATAAAGAATTATTTAGTATTATTATTATTTTTTTTTTCTCCTTTATACTCAAAGGAGGTCGGTCGTCTTTATTTAAGGTGTAATTACAATAATCACAACATATTTACATAAAATAAATAAGATCATACCCACATACAGGTAGACCTTTAAGTCAAAATTACCCCGATATGAACTGTATTACCATTATAAATACATTAAAAACAAAAAAAGGAATGTAAAAATCAAACCCCCTATGATTCCCACAGGGTTCCTCCAAAGGACATCATGATCCTTTATTAAAATGTGCAGCCTTACTGTACACACTAATTCACCATGGTGTAGTCCTACAAAGAGTTAGCACGTTCTGGGATGAAAACCATAGGTCACATTACATAATCTTAGCCTTCATCATATTCAGGTGGATACACCAGGTTTAACTATTACGCTTTAATGTAATTTAATGAATCTAATTTTGACAATTCCACTGCTAATCAACTTTGATTAGTAAAAATTAAAAACTAAAATCCACCAATCCCATTAGCCCTCCTAAATGGACCGATCTACATAAATCCAAAAAAGTTAAGTAACACCAAACCTTCAGCCCAGATGATCAACATTCCAATACTTCCAGCTCTCCCAAAATAAAACTAAGAGTAAAAACGCCAAAATTCCAGAAAAATGAAAAAAACTAAAAAACAAAAAGGAAAGTCATAACCTTAGAAAATTCCTAAGGGAAAAACTGAGTAAAAAGGGTAATAAATACCAAGCCTCCATCTACCACTTCAAACCCCTCAAACAACAACTAATAACAAAAAAAAGCCCACTTCCCAAGTGGCCACCTTTACTTCAACTAATACTCCATAGGAAAAACTTTCTCAATACTTCTAAAAGTAAAGAAACCAACAGGAAAACTTCATACTAGTATAGAGTTCAAAGCCCAGCCGCTCAATATGTAACTGTTACAACTTTCAGGAACCCAGTGAAAAAAAAGCTTCGCAAAAGTAAAATTACTTTTGGTGAGAACTGCTCTATAGTTTTGTAACTCCACTAAAACTTTGAGTTAAAGGCCCATTCGAGTCTTGAAAGAATGACCAAGAAGTCTAAAACAAATAATAAAAGCACTCTACAATCACTTAAGTGAGAAAAACCAAGTTTTTCCTTCAGCAACTTCCGCTGAAAAAATGGCTAAGTGATCGGCGGGTGAGAAATGTAGTCGATCCCAATCAGTATTATTATTATTTTACTAAATGCCAAATAGAGTAATAATATACATAATTCTAACTTATTATATAATCAACTAAAAATAATTCTTATTGTATAATAATTTATTATACAATTAAAATGCAATTAATTTTATTATCAAACTACAGTTTACCCTTACTATAATGAATTCTATAGGCTGGAGATTTATCTAATGAATTTCATTAGAATATAATTTATATTATGCTTTATATATAAATTTAATAAATTTTATGGTAGTTTATGGTTATTTATTTTATTTTATTATACTTCAAGTATAGCCTTAATAGCAAAAAAACCCTTAATGGTTTATTTTAGTATAGTTTTAAACTTTTAATTAATGTTCTTTGACACTTTTTACACATTTTTTTCTTTTTTTTCTGAACTTAAGACGATCTGAAAAGATATTAGTACTGACTGTTTAGAATAAGCAAGCCTGGAAATAATAACAAGATATGAATACTATTAAGTAAACCTTTTAAGCAGAAAAACTGAACTTACAATATGAAAAGAGTTATTGACAAATTTCTTATTAATAAAAACTTTGTAAAATTTTTATACAACAATATTCTATATACTAACAAGCTCTTATTCTTTAAAATATTTGATCATGCTATTATTAAAAAGTATATAAATGCTTTTTAACATAAGAAACACTTATTTAAAACTTATTTTTAAGATAATTTTGCTAGTTACTGAAATATTTCAAGTGTAAATCTTCAATATCTCCTTTATAAAATTCACAAAAACAACACAGTTACATTTTTTGATTAAGCAACAACAAAAATTACCAATCAAAATGCTCTTTAAAAATTCTGAATTAGATTATATGCATTATTGAATGTATTCTTAAACACATTTCAGAATTTTCTAATGATACAACAAATAATTACCGATTTTGATACTCTCTCGCTTTTTTGTATTACTTTAGTCCTGTAAAAAATCTGATCTATATTATCTTTTCATATTTTTTCTGTGAATATATTATTTTATGGAATTAATAGTCTTAAATCATAAAAATTTTCATCTCACTAACACGGATATCTGTGAATGTATCATTTTCACAGAATTTTTATAGAAGATACGAAGAAATAATGGAAATTAGGAAATATTCAGATAAAAATTTTTTATAGGGTAAATTGGAAAACTAATTTTGGATTTTCCAATGACTTTAATGGTATTATCCAATTTTGTGAAACTAATTTTAGATTTATCTTTAAACAAATTTCATATATATATTTAAATTTTATTTTTGGTGGTTTCTTTACTTCAAGAAAGAAGAGGGACTGCAATAAACTTTCTGATAGATTTATTGTTCTTCAGTTTTTTTGTGTCTTTATATATAGAGTTTATAGTTTTTTTACTTTTATATTCTTTTTCAATTTTATTGTTTTTTTTTCTTTATTTTTATATTTTTATTTTGTACTATGTTTATATTATGAATAGAGTTTACAGATAGTTTTTAGAATTTGTTGTATGAACTCTTCTGTCTATAACTAGTTGGTTTTGACTTTTTATGTTGTACCTAATGGATCCTACAACTTAGTTAAATGAATTGCTTAATACTGGTCCTAGTTGGATGTATGTAAAAGGAACAATCTGGTTGTTTATTACTTACTTTATAGGACAAAAATCTTTTTTATTTAGCATTTTAGCTATAGTATAGTAAGTCCTGTGGATATCTTGTGAAAAAAAGAGGTGTTTATACTAAGATGGGCTATTTTAAATGAATCCTACCCTCTGAGCAAAAACTTTCACCTGACAGTGTATATATGAGATGCTTTTCAGAATGATGAGTGGTTTTGAGGTCAATTATATTAGATTATAATTTAGGGTTATATTTTATTTATTGTAATTTTGCTATAGCATTTTATGATTTAATAAATCTTCAAATGCATTGCAGTTAATAAAAAAAAAAATAAATAAATAAATTTATGGTAAAATCTACCTGCTAATAAAATATTCATCAGAAGAAAGAAGATTCTACATATTTTTATTCATTTATATTATAATTTTATTATATTTTTAATTAATATAATATATAATGTATTAAAAATATTGAAAAAACTTGTTTTTTTTTACTTTTTTTTTAAAAATGAAAAAGTTTAAATAATTATAAATCATGTAATATAGTGAAAATTACTTAATATTTCATATGATTATGCTATTTGTAAATGCTACAATAATAATTTGTTATATTAAAATTTGCTATAAAAAAGGTAGATTGTAAATATAATTTATTTATTTTATTATTATTTTAATATTATTATTTTAGATGAAGATTTAATTTTAGATTAGTTTTAATCTTTTCAATATATAATTTTTATAATTTTGTTTTATTTTGGTAAGTCAACATTATATTAGGTAATGTAGATTTAACTATAAAATATATAATTTTTACTGTTTTTTTTTATACATTTGTAATAGGCAATAAATCGGCATACAAGATTTTCAGGCATGTGATGTATTACACAATTAAAACAATCAATAGGGAAACAATAATTTCAGCAAAACAATGTTATTATAAAAAAAGATAACTATTGTTATTGAAAAAAATATTTAATCGCTTGAAATTCACAAGTGAAATATTTTCAACTATATATAAACCGTTAAAATTATAATAAAGAGTAGTAATAACTTTCAAAAATGTCCAATGAAAATAAGAAAACGGTCCATATAGATATTGTATCTGATGTAATTTGTCCATGGTGTGCTTACGCAATTTCAGTTCAAAAAATTCGAGCAAGCCAATTAATATATTTATTTAATTATGGTAGGTGTTATGTTGGAAAACGAAGACTCGAGGAAGCAATTAAACAATCGAAAGAACTATATCCAAATCTTTCTTTTGAAATCGAGTGGTTTCCTTATTTGTTAGATCCATCGCTAACAAAGGAACCCCAGTCTAAAAAGGAAATACTAATGAAAAAATTTGGAGAATCAACATTTAACTCCAATGCAGCGATACTAATTGAATCAGGCAGAGAGATCGGGATTAGCTTCGATCATGACGGAGTTGTAGCTCAAACTTACGATGCACATCGCTTAATCAATTATGCAAAATCACAAGGAAAACACGAAGAAATAGTAGAAGTATTATTTCATAATTATCATGAGGAAGGCAAAAGTCCGGCAGATTATGATGTTCTTTCGGAAGCTGCAGCGTCTGTTGGTTTAGATAAAGAAAAAGTATTGCAATTCTTGAAGAGTGAAGAAGGAATGCAACAAGTTAAAGATGAGATATCACAAGCTCTTAAAAAAGGAATTGCCGGTGTACCACATTTTACTATTAATAACAAGTATGTAGAAAGTTCGAAATGTAAAATTTCGTATTAATATTTTTTTTTTTTTTACTAATAAAGTGGTTTTTTATTTTAAAAAATTTTTATGACGAAATTAGATTTGATGTATCCGGCGGTCAAGGGCCTAAAATCTGGCTTGAAATTTTTGAAAACATTTCAAAGGAATAGATGAAATGATAATCGTACACAATAATCGGTTATCAAACGTAAATCTGCTGCGTATAAATAAATTACAAACTAACCATCGTTGGTTTATTGATAAGATTTTTCATTTAATTACAGATAAAGAAAATAAGTTTTAGATTGGACGACGTATTAAGCTGCATGTAATTGCGTAAACCGGAAAACTTTATTTTGTATTTAATCTATATGACTAATTATGGAACTGATTATCCTATGCAAGAGAAGAGTATAATAGAATTACGTGCTCTATGGATTAATAGACGAAAAAAGAAAAGATTGTATTATGTAAGAATATCTGGTTGATAAACTCGATATTTATTATATATTCTATTCTATTATTTATTTATTTATTTATTAGTTTTGTTACAATAAGACAAAATAATAAGCGATTGTTCGCTTGATATGATTATTATAATTATTTATAATTATAATAATTATTTATTATTTATTTTTTATTTTTTATTATAGTTCATGGCTTCATACCAATTTCCGTGGCTAATGTTTGTTTACTGTTTAATGTTGAATAAAATTCATATGATTTTTAAACAAAAAAACTGCAAGGGATTATTTATATACAACTAAATAAAGATAAACGTTTTCAATGTTGAGAATACTATATTTTAGTTCGACTCATAATCAATTACTCAATTAGTCATACATATATTTATGCAGGTTAAAAAAAAATATTTTTTTTTTTTTTTGATAAAGTTATCAGCTGAAAAATCTTTTACCGTTATATTTCTCTACTGATCTTTATTTTAATCGGTCACTGCCAGCCTTTAATTAATGCACAACAATCTTATATCAGCGGCAAAAAAAATAAGTGTTGTATTAACTAATATTACTAATATTACCATATGAAAAAAAAAAAGCTGGGAAAATCGGAATAAATTTCTTAATTCGTTAATCTATTTAACGCCTTTCGAGTAATTGGGAAGTTTCTATTGGTCGACCACTTATGTTAAATGAAAAAAAAAAATGTCCCCACATTTTGAGTGTAGCCACTGAAATTTCAAACCCCTAAAAATTTTCGTTACGTCACGTTCATTTTGACTTGCCCATATATGTTCAGTATTTGGTGTAGCAAACATTCTCATTGTTCTTTCTTTTTGTTCCACGCAACCCGTCTAGAGGGATTAACTCATAGTATTCTTTGGTCGATCAATTATTGTTTTTTCATGTTACCTCAAAAAACAATAAAATTTTTCCAAAGAAGTCAACTTTTTTTCGCCTTCACAGCCGAAACAATCTTTCCCCTTTTTTTGAAATTTTCGTACCACACCGTGCAAATAACTAACTCCGCAAACATTCCGTGATACAAATAGAACAACAAACCCTCGTGAAATTTGTGAGCATTGATCATTCAAATGGTATGTGCAGTGGCGATTATGTACATTTATGACGTTGAATTTATTCTATATACTATATATGACTTACTAGCGCGACATAGCCGAATTCAAATAATTCAAATAACTGAATGTACCATAAGGTACTTGTATCGCAAACATCACTTATTTATTTACTATTTACCTTATTTACTGCATCTATAAGTTTCTCTCCTTAAACTCCTCCTTCGTTTTTAACTCTTTGTACCATAAATCTTTATATTTTGAAATAATAATAAAGAAAAAACATTCGTCTTTTATGCTTTTTAAAAAAAACAAACCCGGTAAATTATTAAGTAAACAATAATACTTTTTATTCGCTTCTTTCGTAACTTTGAAAATGGAGCGAAAAATTATCAAGAATATTATATTAGCTTGGGTATTTTTTCCAGTCGTATCAGTAATAGTTTGTATGTTTTCAAAACTCAAATATTCACCGACTTTATCATCAATAATATTCGATTTTTTTTTTTTCAAAAAAAGCACAAATAACTAATTTTTTTTTTCGAATTTTTTCTTTTAAAAAGTCTATTCTTATTGTTTATGCTGGATTTTTTATCTACTGTATGGTATTGTATCATCTTATTCATCTTTCGGACAATAAATCGTTAATGATCAAATATTTATTGATGATTAACAATCTTTTTTCTATTTAGCTCAAACTGATGCTCCTCAATCACAACCAAAAGTTCCTTTAAATCCGATACGAGTGTATAAGGTAACCTCTTACCTTCTCACTTGTATGTACGAAAATTTGACAGGTCCCTTCATACCGTCAATACTTCAATATGGATGGCATAAGTTATCAAGTGATGGAAAGAAGAAACCATCTGTGAGGTAATTATCGCTTATTTATGTTAAAATGAAAACTTATTTTCGTGAATAACTTGTTAATTCAAATTCTTTAGGAAAAATATTCGCTACGGTCCTAAACCCCGAAATCGCTTAGATGTTTATCTGCCTGATCACGTTTCGGCTACGGCATCAAAGAACAATAATAAGAAATGTAATGATAATACAGGACATGCTGCTTTTACAAACCAACAACAAAATGATATTCCGGTAATTATTTTTATTGGAACATCATGGAATTCTGGTGAGTTTGCTTTCTACTATAATAACGTTTTGGCACGTTTGTCTAGACACCTTGTTTATTTGCTAATATTTATATTAATTAATTTAAAAAAAGGAAACAAAGATACTTGCATGCCAGTAGCTCATAATCTTCAAAGTCAGGGATACATTGTAATCGTTCCTGATATAACCATCTATCCTATCGTAAGTATACATATTACTAATATTAATAAGACTAAAACTTTACGCGATCTCGCAATCTTATAAAAAAATTCATAAAATTTAAATGTTATTTAGGGCAAGATCGCTGAGATGGTTACGGATATTCAGCTGTGTATTTATTGGGCACACACTCATATTAGGTATCTAAATTTTCTTTGTGGCGCATCATCACTAAATCACGTGTAATTAATGAATTATTGGGTATTAGATCATTCCGAGGCGATCCATCCCAAATTTACCTTATGGGCCATGGTGCTGGTTCGATTTTATCGGCTCTGACTGTCATTCACGATGTCTGTGCCACCTTAAATGTTCTCCCCCCAAATAACACTAACGTAAATATTCCTTTATGGGACAATAATATTAGGAAGACTGGATCACCAAGAGTTCATGGATTAATCCTGTAAGAATTTGCTATTTATCACGTGATTTGATTATATTTTAATTTAGGTTTAAGTCATACTTTATTTGTTCTTGTTAGGTTTTCAGGGGTTTATGATATAACATATTATTATGCATATTTGTATCAAAGAGGTATGAATTACTAACAATGATATTCTATAACAATGAAAGTATTGTAAATTAATAAAAATCCTATCGATAAAATATACACATAGGTCTCGAACAAGTTCATGCTTTACCAAGAGTTATGGGTAATAAATCCGATGCTTTCCTTCAATGTTCGCCAGCATATTTATTAAATTATGCGCTTAATAATGTTCATAATCGTGAACAATTAAAAATGTTATTACCGCGTAAAGTTGTATTATTTCACGGAGATCAGGTATAGTGTTGTTTATTATATTTAATTCTAAAATTTTCCTAATATAAATAATAATAATCTTTTTTTTAAAAAAAATTGTAATTCGTCAATAGGATACATTTAATCCAGTAACAACGACACATAATTTCTATTCTTTACTTAATTCAGCGGGAATCCCATCAGTAAAACTAAACATTTATGATCATGTTAAACATATTAGTCCAAAAATTGACCTTATAGTTCCAACCAGACCTTTATGTGTAAAGATATTGAAAGATATTAAGGAGTGTTGTAAAGGACACGGAGGTGTAGTGGTTGGAAGTCAATTGAAAGAGAAAAGAGATGAAAAAGAAATGACAAATCAAGATAAAACCAAGACAAGAAACTCAAGAAGAAGAATGTCTCAGGTTAGGCATTAATATTAGAAGTTTAATAATTAGAAAATTTAAATTATACATATACTATATATACATTACATTAGAATGAATTACAAGGAGAATAATATAATTGAAAATTCGTTATTTATGCTTTTATTTATAGATATTTATATAGAGCTTTTACATTTATAACACTAATTTTTTTATTTATTGGTTAGTCAAGACTTGTTATGTATGTGTGTATATATATACATATACATATATATTTGTATATAATCAAAAAAATCAAAATTTGTTCTTTTTAAGAACATCAAACTTAAAAGATTTTATTTTAGAAAGATGCTAATAATAAAATAATAAATGTATTTAATTTTAACATTATCATAAATTTATTAATTATAAAAGATCCCAAAAAATATATAATAATATTAGAATTATTAAGATCCAATTTTGTATAAATTTATTATGAAAGAAGTATACAATCAATATATTATATATAATAAAAATTGAGTATAAAGCTACCAGTCATGTGATTTATAAATATATTTATTAATTGTATAATTTACATTAAATAAGTTTTATTTAAATAGATATTAAAAATATTTTATTACAATATACAGAGGGCGATCAAAATTATCCGGCCAGTTTATTTTGCTAAAATTTTGTTGATCATGATGTGTTAATGTAATATAAATAAGATATAATTTCGTATTTATAATCACAATAAACAAATTCCAATGCTTCATATTTTTCAAAAATATGAAGTCACCCTATTGTATGAATTTTATAAATTTTACAATTTTGTGTAAATAAACTTAAAAATATTAAAAATATTATAATTTCGCCAATATCGATCTGATCGACCTGTGCTTACCACCATTCAAATCGTCTCAATGAGATGGATCAAAAAAGCTATAAATTGGAAAATTTCAATCACAGGATCAGAAAGTATTGTAAATGACATTTAGGCTTTTAGAGAGTAATCATGTGATGAATATCGATCCTACAAACATTAAATTATTACCATTCAAATCCTCTCAATGAGACGAATCTGATGAACCCAAAATTTCAAAATTTCAATCACTAGATCTCAAAATAACCTTAACATACAATTTTAAATTTTAAAATTCTCTAATTTTGCAAACTTTAAAAATTTATAATTTACATAGTATTACATTTGCATAATACCTGTAATTAATATGTAATACAATGGCATAATACTTTTTCAACATTATGCTTGCATACCTTATTAAATTTTCTGATAAAACTACTTGAAAAGTACTATGTTAAAGTTGCATTTAAATGTATTCCTCCAGAATATTATAAAAAATCTATCAATAGCATATCTCTGTGAATTGGGGAGTTATTTTTGCAAATGGAAATAGAATTTATTATTAAAATTTTATCTGAATTAGTAAACAAAGATATAATGAATTTGTTTAACTTAAATTTTTATTATTGTTATATTATATATACCGTATTTTGCGGTAAGTAAGCACCCCCCGAAAGTAAGTACACCTGGCCAGAATTATGGCGATTTTGGCCAAAATTATGAGGATCTTGGCCGGCATCAAGTGCAAAAATGGGGTGCTTATATACCGCAAAATACGGTATATAAATTATTTCAATTTGAAAAGTGGCCAGATAATTCTGATCACCCTCTGTATTATAAAGTTAAACTAAATATATAATATATAAAATAAGGATTTCAAATAATTTATATATAGATTATTCATGAAGTTTGCTTAATAATTATATAAAATTTTCAAAAATTGCTTATTTTAAAATATTTTTAAAATTTAAACTATATACCACTATTTTTTAACTAATTCATAATCCAAATTTAATAAAATTTATATTGTTAAGTTTATTTCAATAAAAAAAATCTAATTAAATGACATACCACTCTATATAATTATTATTCTATAATCTAATTCCCATTTTTAATCTTTATAATCTGATTAATACTTTATAATCTAGTTACTACTTTGTAATTTAATTACTATTCTATAATCTAATATTTATAATCTAATTAATCTAATTTCTATAATTTAATTATTACTTTATAATCTTCCTACTTTTTTTTACTAATTATTTTAGCTATTTTTTTAAGACTTTTCTACTATTTGTATTTTTATATTAGTATAATTTTATTACTATTTATAATTTATTTATATATTAACTAATAATATATATTTTTAGTAGTTTTGTAAAAGTAATATATATTAATAAAAGTATTTATTGAAATTTATAGTAAAAAAGTTTGAATAGGATTCTTTATATTATTATATAAGTAATAAATAAGGATCTTAAATAATACTAATACAACTTACAAATAAACTTTAAATACCAAAGAAAAAATATATTTTATAGTATAAGTGTATAACTCTGTTAATATTGAAGCTAAGGTTGCTTGTCTAAACCTTTTCAAAATCCTACAATTAGTTTTGTCAAAATTTTACTATAGATTTATTATAGTTTTGGCAGAGTTTTGGCAGTTTTGGCATTTATAATAAGTTTCAGCAGTTTTGCCTTTCTCCAAAGTTTTGCCAGTTTTTTAATATAACTTTAATATAGTTTTGGCAGAATTTCGCTTTTCAGTGAAACACCATCTTGCCTAAACCCCTACATTTCGGCAAGTAACCTTAATTGAAGCTAAAAATGTGATTTTACTAATATTAGAATCTTTTTGTTACATTTTTTTTTGTTTAATTACAAGTATATCGGGAGTCAAAGTATATGCACAATGCCTTTGCCTTTGGTTGTAACATGACATATATCATATCACAAGTATCATTGGTATCACCCTAGCTTCTAGTTAGTTTCCAGCACTTTCTATGATAAAGGTTACATATCACATAATCATATGGCACAGTAATAGACAACACTCTAAAGCCATCTATAATATAATTGATTTTTTCTCAAAATTGTTAATGTTGAATACAATATAACTTGTTATATTTTATCAACGATGAATAGATTCCTTCAAAAATAAATTTTTTTGAGAAGATGGCTTACAATTATTTCTCGCACTCCCTCATATAGTCTGAGTATGGTGAGGTCGCAGGTTCAATTCCACTGATCACAGAAATAAAACGAATTTTACTGCGAACGCTACAACTAATAGCGTAAAGGTACAAGGATCTACACTATTTTCAATAAAATATTTTGCTAAACTAGCTGGATTATCTTCTGCAGAAGCAAAACTTCAAAGAAGAGTTTATAAATGAATAAAATATAAAATGCCTGCTTTTATATCTTTTGTAAATTTTGTAGAAGAAAAATTCTTCCAATTTTCGCTAGTAATTACATACAATATTTCATCATTCATTAATCCCTTGTAAATTAATAAAATGATTTTATAATTAGCATAGATATCAGATAATGCAAAAATATAATAAATTGCAAATTGAGTAAAATAATGCAAAATACTGTATATCGCGGATTATAGTACCTCCTATATATAGTACTTTTCTTGAAAAATTTTATAGAATTGTATAGTACCTGGAGAATATTTTACAATTATCTCATGATTTAGTGATCAAATTTAAACCATCTTTTTTTTTTGTTTGATAGCTTTCATTGACTCTTCAAAATAAAAAAATAATCTTTCAAATTGAACTGATAGATCATGAGATATTTGCAAAAAAACATTTTATTTAGTACTCAAGGGTACAGTGTCAAACCCCGATTTTTGCAAAATATCTGAAGTACTGTGACCCATTATATACAGTATATACGTCATATAGCCTATTCTATCTGCAAGAATTTTCCAAATACTGTATTGTACATTTCAGGTGATCGATCTCACAAGCTCAGAAGTTTATTGTTAATTATAGATTATATTTGCGAAGCTCAATAATAAATTTTATGCACTGTATACAAATATTTAAAAATAAAAAAATCATAATAGTCATCAGCAAATTTTGCAAAGAAAAATTTTGATATTATTTCTGGTATGTATATAATTTTCCAATACATAACCTATGTATTACCAACATAAAAACACAAGTTCGAAATGTGAGCAAACTTTATTTGAAAACTTTATTAATATTAATATAATTACTCTTTATAAATTTCATTTCAATAGCTTTTTCAGTTGAGAAGAATCAGATAAATCTCTAATAAAATTATTTTTTTTAGTTAGTTTAGAGAATCTTGTTCAACACTTATAATCTTTTGCCAAATTATTGACATGTTATAAATACTATATACAGTCAACTCCCTCTATAGTCACTCCCGTTATAGTCACATTCTACTATATAGTCACACCAGTTGAATGTTCAAAACACTTTATTATTAAAATCTATCCTATATAGTCACAATCTATCTATAGTCACTATCACACCTATCCTAAGAATATATTAAATAACTTGGCATCTAATAATCGTACAAAGATGTATCATAGCTTGTTAGAATTGTCTCACTGAGACGAATCGAATGGTGGTAGTTTTATCCTTTTCCGATCACTGGCTGACGAGTTATTCAACAAAATGTTAAACATCGGCATTATAATATTTCTTGATTTACGTTTACTGCGCCATTTAACATTTTGCTAGATTTCTCGGTACCTAGTGATTGTAAAAAGACGATTTATAGCTCGTTGGAATCGCCTCATCGAGACGAATCGAATGGTGGTAAGCTCATCTCTCTGTGATCAATATTGACGGAGTTATTACTTAAAAACCATTTAATATTTTTTAATTTCGGAAATTGATCTAGTGATTGGATTTCGATAGATCTTATACCATTAGATTCGTCTCATCAAGACGAATCGAATGGTAGTAAGATCGTCTTTCTAGGATCAATATTGACAGAGTTATTACACAAAAACCATTAATATTTTTTTAATTTCGGAAATTAATCTAGTGATTGGATTTCGACGTATTTTATACCATTAGAACCGTCTCATCAAGACGAATCGAATGGCGGTAAGATCATCTCTCTACGATTAATATTGGCGAAGTTACGACACAATAAAGTTTTAAGTATAATTCTGGCTAAAATTATGTTAATTTTTGGCCAGAATTATGATATACAAATATAAGAAATTTTTTATATAGTCACATCTCTTTATAATCACCAAATATGGACTGTCCCAAATGTGTGACTATAAAGAGAGTTGACTGTACCAAGCATGAATAAATCAAAAGAAGTTACGGATGAAATAAAAACTAAGTCCACAAAAACATCAGGCTGATGCAATCATATATGTTTATAAAATCATATAACAAAAAATCATGTAGCGAAAATAAACAATAAAATTAATGAATCACGTGATATAGATAAATAACATACTGAAAGGGGCATGCCAGAAATTAGCTGATTTGAAAGGGGATGGGGG